ACTATATTTCTAGGACAGTTCTGATCCAAAGCTAAGATCCATTAGTTTTATTCCTGGGTATATTCCCAACAAAAATATGTATATATGTGCAGTAAAAGTTAAGCACAAGATGTTTATAGCAGCATTATGCACAATAACTAAAAACTGGAAATAGCCCAAATGTCCTTCAACAGGGGAATGGATAAATAAATGGTAGCGTGATTACAATATGAAATACTATTTAGCAACAAAAATCAGTAAACTACAGCTATATGCAACAATGTGGATAACTCTCACAGCATTAGGTATTTAAATCATCTCATATGATTCCACTTATATAAAGTTTAAAAATGGGGGGCGCCTGGGTGACTCAGTCGTTAGGCAGGCTCAGGTCGTAGTCCCAGGGTCCTGGGATCGAGCCCCGCATCGGGCTACCTGCTCAGCGGGAAGCCTGCTTCTCCGTCTCCCACTCCCCCTGCTTGTGTTTCCTCTCTCACTGTGTCTCTCTGTCAAATAAATAAATAAAATCTTTTAAAAAAATGGTTAAAAATGGGAAAATAAGCTACAATATTAGAAGTCAGAATAGTAGTTTGGGGAGAATAACGGCTATAGTGACTAGGGAGGAGGCTTTGGGAAACTGGCAACGTTCGATGGCTTGGTAGGGTGGTGTTGCACAGGTTTTTGCTTTTGATAATTCATTGGGCTGTACATTTGTGTACATTTGTACGTGTAGTAATCTGTATGTATGTTAGTAAGTCTTCAATTTGTTGCCAGTGATTTTTAATAATGCAAGGCCTCCTTGAAAATTAAGCTCCACATGACTGATCCATTTATGTAAATTGCAGGAAAGCAAATTAAGAGTTGTTTTTTTAAGACCATATTCTGCCCAGTAAGGAAATCTGGATACTTTCTAAATCGTTCTACGTGTGACTCTCCAGTTTAAAATAAAAATATCTCTGCCCTTTGCTTGGTCAGTAAGCTTGGCATGACAGTCCATTTCCTGACAGATATGTCAATAACGTTGACAAAAATAAAATATAGAATCTCAGAATTGCAGAATTTAAAGTGACAATGAAACCTAACATTTTTTTTTGAGTTGTGATTTCTTTGTAAATCTGATGGAATCCCTCTGACACTTCCTCTTGAAAAGGCATGTATGTATAATAAAGGTATATACATAATATTTTAATTATTATTTAATTATAATTATTCACCCTGGTAGTTTTTCCAGTCCAGGGTATTTGGTAGATAAAGCAGAAAGAGGTCCAGTGACATGGCTGGTTAGTGGAAAAACCAGGACCAATATTGCAGACTTAATTTCCAAACCAATCATTTTTCTTTCAAGTGAAGAGGTTGTTTTTCCCTTCTCCTGTGTTCCCATATGTGTACTGTTGTTGTTCTCATATAATTCTCATATATATGATCAAATTCTCATATAATTCTGTCCTCACCCTATTGCTTACTTGAGAGATGCCTTCAGCTAAGATGACTTCCCTTTTAAAATAATATACTATTAATTGTTCTCTATCACTATTATTTGAGTATATGCATTACCTTCCCAACTACACTGTAGGAGCCATGGCTTATCCATCTTTGTTTTCCCCAAACTACCTAAGTGTAAGGAATCTATTCATTATAAAACCAACGTTTGTTACATTAAAAGGATGTGCAAATATATGATTGAAACTTCATGGTAGAACTCTATCCCTTAATTACAGGGTTATTACGAGCTCAGCTTCATACTGACGTAAATATGAATTCAGCCTCTGCCATTTGCTAGCTGTATGTTCTGGATATATTGTTTAATCTGAGTCTCACTTGGTAAATCCAAATAGACTTCATACAATCACTGTGGGGATTAAGGAAATAATCTATGTGAAGTATCTTGAGCAGTATCTGATACATAGACTTTGGCTAGCTATGACTGTCATTATGGTCTACTCAACCCTTGAATTAAAGAATCAGTTGGAGAAACCCTGATTTAGATTCTTAGACTCAGACCAGTCAAGCAGTCTACCCAATCCAGGAAATATTCACACATTGTTCCAACAGAGTCTGCTTTGGCTTAACCTATCCCAGTGACAGGGAACTCATTAGAACCAACTGAAGCAGCTCCAGTTCTTCCAAAGTTCTTCCTTACTATTAGGTTGAACCATATGAAATGGCTGTTTCTAGGTCAAAATAATTGAATTATCAACAATTTCTAAAAACAAAAACAAACAGAAAAACCAACCAGACCAGAAATTTGCCTTTCTTTTACTGCCTCTCACTTTAGTTCAACATTTCTTCTCTCCTTCTACATGACAATCCTTTGAAGATAATGGAGAATCAATGGGGAACAAGATAGACCTACCTCCTGCCTTCATTGAGGCTTACCTGCTTATCAAGGAGACAACAAAATAAGCAATTATGTAGAATTTTCAGATTCAAGGAGGTGGAAGAAGAATGTTTCTTTTTTTTTAAAGATTTTATTCATTTATTTATTTGAGAGAGAGAAGAGAGAGCACATGAGACAGGGGAGGGTCAGAGGGAGAAGCAGACTCCCTGCTGAGCAGGGAGCCCAATGGGGCACTCCATCCCGGGACTCCAGGATCATGACCTGAGCTGAAGGCAGTCACTCAAGCAACTGAGCCACCCGGGCACCCCATGGAAGAAGAATGTTTCAAGCAAAGGGCTTAGCTGAGCAAATTCCCATAGAATATATCATACATGAGGTATTGAGAGTATAGAGCAGCACTGCCCAAGGAACTTGCTATGATGATAAAAATATTCTGTATCAGTAGTGTCCACTATGATAGCCACTAGTCACATATGGCTATTGAGCACTTGAAATGTGGTGTCATGTAACTCAGGAAATGCAATTTTAATTAATTTAAATGTAAATAGCCACATGTGGCTAGTGGCTACCAGGCTGAACATAGGGCAATAAAGCAAGAGGGTAAAAGTGCAAGAAATGAGACTGGAGAAGTCAGCAGGGTTCCAGACCATGAAAAGCCTTGAGGAGCATGTTAATAATTATGACTTTACCCCTGAGGGTAAAGTCTCAGAAGGATTTTAAATTCCAGAAAATAACACGATCAGATAGGAGTTTTAGAAACATAATTCTGGCCATCTTATGGAGATAGACAGGAGAAGGGTGGAGAAATTGATCTTGTCTTCGGGAGTTTGCTTTATAAGGAGAAAGATGGGAACAAAAGCAAAATGACTCAACGATATCTCAAAGAAACAAAGACATATATAACTAATCACACCCAATCAGACAATATTCATATATGTATTTATATACATTGTCCACCAATGATCCACATTTCTTGCCTTTTTCTAGCTGTTCACAGGATATCTAGCCTCCTGAGTATTTCGGTGTGTCCCCAGTGGTACCTGAGCTCACAGGGAAGTCTATCAGCAAAATATCCATGCAGCATCAACCTTGTTCTTCCTCCTCTGTGTACATATCCCTTTGTTCTTCTCTGGTTCTTGCCATTGAGGGTAATTTGAAGGTACTGCTCTGTTCTCTGCAGAAGGAGGAGGAAAGTCCCCACCTCAGCAACCTAAGTCACCCTGCTTGGCTCACCCTCCTCTTGATCCTCAAAGCATTTTCTTTGGCCAGTTCTTTTGGAGGGGCACCTTGGTGGCTCAGTCAGCTGAGCGTCTGATTCTTGATTTTGGCTCAGGTCATGATCTCAGATCTTGAGATCAAGCCCTACTTTGGGCTCTGCACTCAGCGGGGAGTCTGTTTGAGATTCTTTCCCTTTGCCCCTCCCCCTGCTCTCTCTCTTTCCCTAAAATAAATAAATCTTTTTTAAAAAGCCAGCTCTTTTGGGCTTTTTCCCCCCCTCTAACTTCTCTAAGCTCTACCTATGGGGTAAGACAAAACACGATGAGAGAGTTAGTAAGTCCCTAGGAGTTGCAGTGATAAGCTACCATTGGGTCCCCCTTAAAGAATTTTGTCTTCCCCACTCTAGGAACCAATATATACATGTGCATGCATATCACAACTCCTCACCAGCTCCATGACACACACCACATAAAAACACACACATCTTATGTGTGTAGCACATAGACCTTTCCGATTCCTAGCACTTCAGCTGACATATCCATACAAGGCTGAATTCTCTTCAGGACCAGCCAACACCATCCCTATTCCATTTTGTTCCTGCAAAAGAAATGGAGAAATAAGTACATAAGCAATCACAGCCCAGTGGTCACATATAATGTATCTGGAGCTAGAGCAATAGCATGTCATAATGTGAAGAGCATGGAGTTTAGTTTAGCGCCAGACTGACCTGGATTCAAATCTCAGTCTGATCACTTTTACTTGCTGGATGGTCTTGGGCAGATCACTGAACCTCTGTGAGCTTCACTTTTCAATTCTACAAAATGCTTACTTTGGCAAGTTGTTAAAATTAGAAATAGCCTGTGTACAGTGCCTAGTACCTGGAAGGTGCTCAATGCATGGAAACTGGTATTATTCCATTGGTGCCCGAGCGCTGAAAGCTCAGGATGACACAGGCCTTGCAAAGGGAACACAGAAGAAAGGTCAGAGCGCTAGCACAACCTCAGGCAAAAGCATCTTGGGATTTTTATTAGATTACAGCCTAGAGCTCGCCTGGTGAGGAAACTGAAGCCAGGGGCAGTAAGTGAGTTAATCAGGGTCACACAGAAAATTAGTGACAGAGCCAGGACAAAATTCCAGGTAAGTCTGCAAAGGTTCAGCCCAATGCTCCTTTCTGTAAAGCTACAGCCTCTCAGCTGCCCAGGCTCTGCTCTGACCCGTCCCCACCGCACTCTGATGGGACAATTTACTCCTCCTTGGCACCTAGGGTGTGCCCTCCGGACGGCCAAGGGGAAGAGCAGATGCAGTGCGTTAGTAGCGAGGACCAGGCCTACGCAGGCCTCCCCGTTGCCATGGCAACCTGAGCTTGGTGGAGGAGGACCCGCTCCCGCGGCGCCCCCTCCCATTCACGCAGCGGACGTGACACGTGCGGCAGGGTCACGTGTTGTTGTTGGGCCGTGAAAGCTGCTTCCGGGTCAATGCAGGACACTGGGCTCCGGCGGCCAGAGTGGGGGACGAGGTGAAGCGGAGCCGGGCCGGGGCCGCCCGGGACCAGGCCGGAGGCTGAGCGGCAGCGACAGCGGTGGCCGGGAGGGGGGAGGAGAGGCGCAGCCCGAGGAGCCGCCGCAGCAGCTCCCCCGCCTCCCGGGCTGAGGGGTGAGTGGAGCCCGGGCCCGCCGGCTCCGCCGGCTTCTCGAGGCCCCAAGCGCTCCCCTCCGGAGCCGAGGCGCGGAGGGCCGTTCCTGCTGGGGCGCAGTGTGGGGAAACGCGGGCAAGAACTCGGAGCGGGACGAGGCCTGCCTGGGAGGAAGGGAGGGATGGGCCACCTGCCTGCGGCTGGAGGGAGAATGGGGCCTGGACTGGCTGGGGAGGCGCGGGGAGGGTCCTGGGCTGGGAGGAGGCGGAGGGCCTGGCGGGTGGGGGCGGGGGCGGGAGGAGGCAGGCGCCTGAGTCCCTGGGAGAATCCCGGCTTCTCACCTTACCAGGGGCGTGGGGAATGGAAAGATGCCCCCTGGGTGGTAGGAGATGGAGACGAGTGCTGGGGAAATAGGAAACTTTGTCTCTGAACTACTGTATCCAAAGGTGAGGGGCGGGGGGGGGGGGAGTAGAGGACATGTCCCCAGGGAGGTTTGGTGGGGAACGGAGCTGGCGGGCATTTCCAGGCTCCTGGGACACTAGGCCTGCTCCTTCCAGGTGGCTGATGAAAGGATGCGTTAGTTTAAGACGGGCTTTTGGGAGAACCGTTTTGCCCTCGAGTTGGGAGACGCTCAGAGTGAGGGGATTGGAGTAAGATGGGGCCTGGGAGGAGTACCCTGTCCTGGGATCTGGGAAGGGGGCAGTGTAAGGATCCTGTGTGGTGCTTCATTCTTTGTTGAGAACGGGGAATACAGAGTTCTAGATCCTCTCCTAGGAAGACATTCTGGGAATTGATGAAGCGAGAAGATTTCATACTGTCTTCTCTTGAAACAGTGATTTTAGAAGTTGTAGTTAAGGAAAGTTGGTTGGAAGAGTTCAACTGTTGACAGCCAGTTGAGGAAGGAGGAGCTCTAGTCTGAAGGTTGCTCAGTTACTGGGAGCTTGTAGGCACCGCCTAGGGCTGTTGTTTGGGGATGTCAGCAACCCTTTTAGGTCCAGACACAAGCTTAGCTGGGGCGTTCCCGGTTCTTTTTACGCTGCCCTGGAGCTCTTAAATTGGTTTCCAAGAGGCCATCTTGAGCAAAGAGATTACGTGTAGGTGCTGAGGACTAATGAAAACACTCAGCCTTTGGGTCCTGAGGCATTAGAACTAGATCTCTAGGGTAAGAGCTTTCAAACTTTTTTTTTTTTTTAAATCATGCCCCATGTTAAGAAGTACTTTTTATGTTATGATCTAGTACATACCTATATATGAATGAAAAGTTTCACAGAGCACTGTTTACCCTTATTACATATGATGCGTTCTGATAATTTCTATTAACGTTCCATTCTCTTTCATTAAAAATGCTGACTGAAGTCCACTAAATTGATTCGTGGGTCACAGGTTGCACTTTGAAAAACACTGTCTCCTAGGCACATTTCTTTGGCTTCGGTTAGTGTCCTCATGTTGTATGCTTCTAGAGAGCCAGGATGATTATAAGGAGATGGGTTTGGGTGGGGGTGCAACTCACTGCTTTATTTGTTTACATATTTATAACGTAGCATGTTTGGCATTTTGGAGCATAATCTTAATCTTTGATATTTTAATCTGGCCTGATTATTTTATGAAATTTTGAAGTGTATGCTTTAATTTTCTCTATCCTTTGCCATGTGAAAGAAAATGAGAGGCCTAATTCCATTTAGTTGACTTATCCCTACAATATACTTAAGGTAATTTTAATGTTATAGTGTTGTCAGTATACACTGATTTGCTTTTCTGCTGTTTAAAAACTCTCAAGCTGAAACCTAAACTCTTCTTATTCCAATAATATATAGTTTAATAATTATACATAATTAAAGATATAGGTTCATGGCTTTAGTATATATTTTAAACTTAATCATAAACCTAAGTGTAACTTTGAGTCAGTTAACATCTAATTCCCCCCAATGATGTTTTTAACTGTTTATAAAATAGATTAGGTGTTCATATGAACAGTATTACAATGAACATTAATAAGTATTGGTGAACAAAGTGAGAGACCTTCATGAATTGCTATGTTTAAAAGTCTTTTTAAAGATTGTCATCCAGCCTATTGTTACATGATGTTGAGTGTCAAGTAATGTTGCCTGATTTTAGTAGGTAAATTTATAGGTATGTATTTAAGACCAGTTTATTGGTGTTAATTCTTGTTGAGGATGCTTTCATATTATTTGGGACCTGGAATTCCAAGTCATAGCCATCAGGAAAGAATTACCCAAATTAAACTTCATCATTGGGGCCATATTCTTGATGAGATGCCTTATGAAAGCATTTTTAATCATCTTCAAACTTTGTGTGTTGTAAATTATATATTTATTGACTATATCTTGGGTACTGGTGAGAGGGTCTATGTTGGCATGTATCAGCCATCTTTTAAAAATTATCTTTTTATCAGGTGAATATTTGTTTTGAAATCTTCAGCTTTAAAGAATGTTTAAAAGCTTTCTGTGGTAGTTGCTTGGAACATGAAGGAAGAATCTCATTAATTTCGTTTTTCTGGGAATCATGTGTACCTGTCAATAAACAGTTGTGGAGAACTTACCCTGAGTGATTGTGTGTGCTTTCTTATAGTTTTCATTTTTTCTCTTGAACCTCAGACTCTTAGGTATGTCCACCTATAGCAGGCTCTTTTCTCCTAATTTTTGCTTCCAAACTGCTGTGGGTTTGGAAATTAGATGCTTACATTTGTTAGAACTTTGTGTAAAATAAGATTGTGCGGCTCTGAATAATGTTCTTTCAATTGTATATGTATATATGTTTATTATATATACACAAATACTTTTTTTAGTGTATGAACTATGTGACATGTATTTTGACTAGTCAGAGGCCTATTTACTGACCTCTTAATTGTGGGCTGTGTTTTAAGTGAACTCTAGATACTTATTCTAATTAGCTATATAAGAAAAAGTTCTAAAAAGTAACATGAAACTGACAGTGATACAGTTTGGACTTAAGGAGTGAAGCAGTCAGCTGTGATTGTCATGCCTGAGTCATTAAAGAGTTGCCATTCCTTCCTTTTCAATCATTTTCATTACCCTCTCCTGACTTTCATTTCTTTGAGATTAGAGTGCTAACAGCCTCACTATTGCCATTGTCTGTTATTCTCGTTCTACTTGATCTTGCATAGCTTCATCAGAGTACTCTTCCAAAGAACAACACCCGAATTTATCATTTCTCTCCTCAAAAACCATTAACTTCGTAGTGCCAGCACTGAATAAAGCCCATACTGTTTAGGTTGGCATTGATGGTATTCTAGAGCCTCTATTTTTTTTCCTGACATTGTTTTTCCATCCTAACTGCAGATCCTCTGTTCCTGCCAAGCTGTCTGCTCATTGTACTTTCTTTTGTAACATTATTCCTGAAAGTCTGGGAAATGTGTTCTTCATGAATTCCTACTCATCATTTTATTACAGATGACCTTTCTTCCTTAAAGTCTTTCTTGCCTGTACAATCTACACTAATTTTCCTACATTGCTTTGTATTATTTGTATATGTTGTTTGTACCCCTTTTAGATTGTAAATTCATAGAGGACAGGAGGCTCAAATAACCTCTATAATCTTTAGGACACCTAGCATAGGGTTTATCAGAGTTCATGGACCAAGTGAATCAGAATTGACTGAATTTATGGTGAAAATTGCAGGTCTCTGAAAATTCCACCCTCGACTTAGTAAATCTGAATCTTGGGATTTGCCTAGGTGGATCTTCTGTACAGTAAAATTTGAGAATTACTTACCTAGCATGCTTTATATTACAGTAGGTACACACAGTTTTTGAGCTGTCCCATTTGTCTGGACCTTCCTATTCTCAGCATTCATAATAATAATGACAATTTGTTGACTCCTTACTGCATGCCAGATACAACTAGATGCTTTAAAAACGTCATTTAATCTTCACAGTGACTAATGACTACGAAATAGCTATTAATAGTTCCATTTTACAAATGAGAAGGCAGGCATAAAGAGGTAAGTAACTTGTTCAAATTCCAGTGCAGATCTGTGATTGAACTTAGGCCTAACTGAAGCCCCAGGCTCTTACTCACAGTGCTCTCCTAAAAACAGATTTGAACAAGATGACACACTTCCAGAACTCCAGACTGTGGCTGTGTGAAACTTTTCCTAATAATTCATTAATGGCCCTTAGAAATGTGATCTATTACTAGCACTGTTAAGAAAAGGATAATTTAAAAGTTCTGAGATTAATGCTCTTCCGAGTGATTTTCATAATTTCTCTTTTGATTCTGTCATACTCATCACCAGTATACTTGATTTTCATTTCACTGCCAGAAGTTGTTACATCAAAGTAAAATTCACTCTTTAATTCATTCAGCAACTATTTGTTGCCCTGTGCCAGATATTCCTGCATGTAACACTGAGCTGGACCGACAAATCTCTACCTTTGTGGGACTTAGGTTCTCGGGGAAGGGACTGAAGCCCTAACTTAACATAGAGTGGAAAGTGCCATAAAGAATGAGAGAGGCTGGAGTGATTGATGGTAGCAGTGGGGCTATTTTTGATGGGTTGGTCAGAGGCAGCCTTGTCAAGAAGGTAACATTTATGTTTAAAAATTTGAGGCTTGGATGCTGAGATGAAGCCCGCAAAACCAAGAGCCAGGTAAAAGGCATTCCTGTGAGAATGTCTTAGGAGGGAATCAGCCTGGCAAGTTTTGAGAAGTAGAAAACCATGCTGGCTGAAATCTAGTGGGTGGGAGGAGGTGAGGTCAGAGAGGTGAGCAGAGAACAGATTGGAGGGAGCCGTGAAGACCCCGATAGAGATTGGGTTTCGTTCTAAGTGTGAAGGGAAGGAAGCCGTTGGTGAACTTAAAGGACATGATTTGACTTAATATTTTGAAAAGATCACTTGGCTTCGTTGTGGAGGATGCGTTGTATAGTTGTGAGAGACCAGGAAGGGAGCTATTGCAGCAGTCCTAGTGAGAGGTTGATGGAGGCTTCAACTAGAGTAAAGTAATGGAGACGGAAAGAGTTGGGTTTGAGAGATACTGTTG